AAGTAAGGCAATATTATGGAGAACGATGTATAAGGCCTCATTTACTTTAGTGGACAAGATTGGATAGAATAAGATAACTACATTTTCACGTGTTTATCTTTATAGATTGCACGTGGAATTGTGCCTACGCGTCTTCCAAAAGTTGCAGATTATTCCCATTCGACCAATTCTTGGGATTTTTTAATCTCGTCTCTGAAATTATCATTGTGTCTTCAAATTGGCTCGAAAAATGTCTTACATATCTTTCCAATGTAATTATATACATTAAATAGTCTCCTTCTTCCAACATCCTAGCCTAAGTCCTCTCCCACATCCCAGGCGCTACCATCTTCTCCCACAACACGTCATTCACGACCTCCTCCTCCTCCATCCCACCTCCCTAGAGCCCATCCTCCACTTCAAGAAACTCATCAGGAAAAAGTTTGTTGCGTCCAACACCTTCACCTTGGCCTCTTCTCAAGTGTTGCTCCGTCCTTCTGCTAAATTTCTAATTTATATATTGTATATCAATACTATGCTTCATCCCAATATTTTATTTTAGTACACCTGAAGCAGTAACATAGATTATATTGTCCAATCCCATCTATTTTAGTAAATGAGGCCTAAGTGTTCTAAAACCCGGACTAGCCTCTACTTTTAGGAGTTAGGCGTAACTCGAACGCTACGATGCTTGCCTAGACGACTCTTCTAGGTGTTTAGCCGATTAAGCACCTAGACGCCTATTTTCTTATTTTTTTTTTTAATTTTGTTTTAAACTATAATAAAATAGATTTTTATTTTTAAACATGAAATATACATTGTTACAAAATCTACAAAAATTAAAATAAAATAATATTATATTAAACTTAAAACAATAGTAAAAAAATATTATAGTTTAGATCATCAAAGATTTGATCACATTAATTAATATACATTATATAAAGTATTTATAAATTATGAATAAAGATAAATATAAATAATTTTTTAATATCTATATGATCTTGTCTATGCTCCGATTGGTTCCAGTCTCGTAGTCAAACGACCTCGATGACCCTGGATCCGATCTCAACTGGTAGAAAGACCTGCAAAATAACATCGGGTGTTGTTCCGACATAGATGCTCCGACGCTCAAGTTAGTGAACAGTGATGAAGAAGACAATGAACAATATGAACTGTATATAGTTGTATGCATATTGCATACTAGAGTGTGTAGAGTGTAAATAATCATATATCATCCCTTTATATTTGGATGTTACTTTGCTGCCCAAAGACTGCCTGATTGGGCTGTCCGAGTGCCCGAGCTACCCGTTCGAACTACCTTGGTGTCCAAAGTGTCCAATTCTGTTAGGACACATGGTCATATCCCTTGTCCTCGTTATATTAATTATCATCATTATTATATATTATGTAGTGTCTTCACATTAGACTACCTTATTCGGTGGTCTAATTGTGCTACCAGCTCAGATTCCCTTGAACCAAGTTGCTCTGACCTTTAGTGGATAAGTTTATCTCTTAGGTCGTACATCGACCAGCAGACCTGTTAGATATGTTGTAAAAGTTTGGTTTTCAGATATAACCAATTTTATTTTGATATGGCAATCGTGTTTTAGTCAAAGTATTTATGTTTGCAGTTTATTTATTTATACAATCATAACTCCATTATTTTATATTGTAGATAATATGGTTCGTCGTGTCGAACAGAAAGATCATACTATCAGTTCCTTGTAAAATATAAATTATTTGTTCACAGTTTAGACAGACAGTGAGACCCTTGTTGGATAAAGACTGTAGTGTAGTCCTGATTCAGTTGATCTTTGACTGATGGGTTACACTAGTACTTATGATAAGTATTGAACAGACCGCGGCAGGATAAGATTATAAGATTTACCGATCGTTGTTATAATCTAGACCTTCAGTGATTGATGTATTCTCTTAAGTTGTAATATAATATAAAATGGGCATATATATTCATTACTTATTTATTTGATTTAGCAAGGGTGATTCCTATTCAGTTAGGATGACATACTCACTATTTTGGTAAGTAAGTGTGTTTATATGATGTGTCGTGATAAATTATTTACAGTCACTATGTCCCAGTGCGTTGGGTTAATGATGTCCCGAAATGAGCTCAAGAAAGAATATTATGGCAAACCCTGCAGGTTGATAATTATCCGGCATAATGATTAATGAAGTGAGTGGTACTAATTTCGGAAATGAAAGAAGTCAATTTAATTTAATTGTCAGTAATTAAATTAATTGATGCATGTCATATCTTAAACATAGGGAGGTAAATCGGTCAATTAGACTAATATTAATTAATCATTTGAAGGTTTGATTTATTGAATAAATTGAAGCTAAATGCAGAGAGCAATAATATTAATCTAGTGGGATGTTTTATTATTTAATTCTAATTAAGATTTTAGGAATTAATTATATTCCATAATTTAGATTCCATTAGGAGAGGAATATTCTTTCTAGAATATTCACCTTAGGGTTAGGAGACTACAGAGTCTTCTAGAAGGGTGATTGAGGTTAGGATGAATAAGACTTCTACATGGGAAAAGATATGGCATGATTAGGATTCCTAAGCCTAATGGGATAAGCCCATATTTAGCACCTCCTTAAGATCCCTAATGTAACCTATAAATACACCATGTCCCAACCTCTTCCCCTACTATTGATGTTGGTCGATTTTGAGGTCTTCAGAAGAGAGGAAAATCGAGCTTCATTATATATTCGAGCGTTCGGGAGTTTCGATTAATCGCACCACCAAGATTAGTCGAAGTAGGTGTTAAGGTAATATATTAGAAGATCTTAAGGTTAGATAGATCAAACCTTGAAGATCATCTTTTTCCGGCCATCCTCCACCGTCAACCGCCGCCGTCCGCCGCCACCCGCTGCTGCGACAGCTACCGAAAATTGTCGTCGTCGCAGCCGCACTCAGCCAGGCCACGCTCACAGTCCCAGCAAGAAAGCCCCGCGAGCTCCCGCACACCGTCGCCCCTGCTCGCGTGCACCGCCGCACGAGATCTGCGCACCCGTCCACCTTACCGTACACGCCAGCCCCAAACCGCGCAGGAATAGGCATCGCGTCTCGCGTGCCACCCGCACACGCCCGAGGACATCGCCAGCGCCAGTCCGCATCGGCATAGGATGCACTGCACGAGCCCGAGCAGTCCGCGTATGTCCGTGTCTGTCCACACGCCCGCGCGTCCCAGCCACCCGACGCGCACCCGTCCGCGACCAACGACCTGCGACCGTCTATGACCAGAGCCGACCAGCGCCAGTTCAAGCCCAGCCGCTTCACCACCTGACCGAGACGTGACCCAGAGAGTTTCGACCGAGTCAACCCTGGTTCAGCCGAGTCGACCCAGTGAACCGAGCCCGATCCAACCGGCCCGAGCCCGACGAGCCTGATCTGGTGATCCGTTCTTGATTCAGTGACTCGATCAGAATCGAGAAAGGCCAAACCCGTCAGCCCATCGGGTTTTGGTAATCAGACGATCTCCATCAAAGAAAATCAGTAACATCTTTGAGTCGACAAAAATTTTAAACGGTAATGTCCAAACCCTAACTATAGATTCCGCTGCGTTAGGGTTTATTTTTCCAAATTCAAACGTGCATGTTGTTGTCGTTCCTAATAGAACCCAACAAGACTTACAGGTCGAGTTTCCATAAAGCTAGCTGAGATCCCTAGCTCGACCTGTTGGCATGTTCCCTTACTTGTGAGTAGGGTTGTAAACGAATCGAATCAAAGCGAATACTCAGAGATTCGATTCGGATTCGTTAAAATATTCGAAGATTCGAATTCGTATTCGATTCGTTAACGAACTCATTTTTTTATTCGTATTCGATTCGTTTAGAATATTCGAACATATTCGATTCGATTTGAAGTTCGTTTTTAAAAGAAATTATAATTAAAAAATAATAATTACAAAAAATAATTTTTATTTTTCATATATTTTTAGGAAAATTTGTTAATTTATGATGATTTTACTTTTTATGTCATAAAAATAGTAGGAATATAACAATATATATATATATATATATATATATACATATATATTATAAACAAAATGTATACTATATATAATTTATAAAATATATATAAATATTGTTAACGAATCGAATATTCGAATTTCGAATCGAATATATACAAATTCGAATTTGGATTCGTTTAACTTTCGAATATAAAACATTATTCGTATTAGAATTCGAATTCAAATATTTCGAATTCGAATCACGAATATCGAATCGAATCAAAAAAATTTGATTTGTTTACAAGCCTACTTGTGAGGTCACCATCCACCTGGTAATTTCTCAACCTCCGATGTCCTTTATGTCTGGCCGACCTACCGGCTCACTTGATCCGATCGGACCGCTCTTTAGGTCGTACACGACTTGTTATGCTATCCTATATCATTCGGTTCTCCCCATCAGATCGAGTTGAGGTAACTCGAGCTAAGAGTAGAATCGATTATCCTTAGTTACATTAATCAAGCTCGCAACTTATCTAACCAACCCATGATCTCAATGTTTCTTTTCCATCTAGCTATGACAATCCATTCGACCTAGGGCCAAGGTCTTAAGTTCAAAATTTGAAATTCAAATTTCTGAGACCTTTTAGGTCAATCTAACATCCTTTCAAATCAGTGTAACGTCTTCTCAACGTAATTGCCTCTTATCCTATTCTGCCATCGTATAATGCGCCAATTAATGATGCTTCATTTTTGTCCACCCGATTTTACTTTTGTCCAACAATCTTGATCGACCTGTCTTTTCAACTTGCTCTTTTAACCATTTTGACCTTGATCAAACAGTCCTACTCGACCGAGGTCGATCAACCTCTTAAAATTCTTTTCCATTTGCATTTAGATAGGCTCCTTAACCCTCATTTTCTTTCCACCCATTGCGAAAATTTCCCTGCTATATACTATCTGCAATAACTTTTGCATCCTTTGCTGCTAATCTGCCACCGACAAACTTTGTCGTTTCCCTTCGTTGAATAGCCTTCAACTTAATCATGTTGATGAGTAAGTCCTTTTTTTCCCTATTGTCAATAAATCACATGTTTTATTTTTATTTCAGTTTCTTTTCTTCATATACATGCACCTTAGTTATTTTCTTCAAATTCACCTCCCTTAGATATATTTTTTTCTTCTTTTTCTTTGTTTTTTAGATTCTCGTGCAACCAACAACTCCAACGATGCCTCTGTTATGGAGCATATGACCTCCCTTTCTTCTTCTCTGATTTCTTCGTCTTCTTATTTTTCCTCATTGTCTTCTATGGAAATCCTTCCTCAGCTTGTTCGCTTATCTTCCCGACCTCTTCGCCTGGTTGACGAGCTTAAAAAAGACGTTGACTCTCCTCCCTGACCTGATCCTTGGACTAGCTCAAGTTTCCTTGCACGACATCTTCAGGATGTTTCTTCTAGTATTGCGCCATTCATGGTCTCTGTAGCTCACAAACCCATTACTTTTCTTCAGGTCGGCGAAGAGTGACTAGAGCACTTTCTAATTTTTACCGAAATGCCGACCAACTTGGACTTTATTACCCCTTGCCCTTTAGATACTTATGACCAACCTCCGTGTGGGTGTTATACCTTCTTTGGTGACCAGATCGAGTCCGGTCTTAGATTTCCTCTTCACCCTGAGCTTATCTCCATGTACGAATATTTGGTCTCTCTATCAGTAAGTTTTCTCCCAAATCTATTAGAACGGTAGTAGTTTTTGTGCTCCTTTCTTACAATAGGTTAGGCCATGTTGACCTCAAATATTTTAGATATTGTTTTGGAGCTAAATACCACAATGTTCCTATNTCGCAACTAGGCCAAACTAATAAAAGATTACCCCTCCAATGTAACGGCCTAGAAAACAGGTTTTTCTTAATTCGACCTACCTAATATGAAAATATCCTTAAACCAGATTGGACCGGAACACTACGAATGGACTCCAACTTCGAGCTGTGGTGACCTGCAAAACGCCTAGGAGGGGTCCCAGTAGAAAATCGTCGAGGCTCAAGTCAGTCTCTGCTTGTGAGAGAAAACTAGCAATGTATGTACTCAAGTATATGTGTATGTGATGTATAAAACAAAAGAACCTGGTCACCCTTATATACATAGGGTACCTTGATGCCCAAGAGAATCCACGCACGTCTCTAGAATCTGAGTCTCCTTAGCAAAATAGACTTTCCCTCCTTAAAAATTTCTTATCCCCTCTCACTCTATGACTCTTAGGTCAGCTCGGTCCCCCATACGACCTCCTTTGCCTACCTACCATAGTCTATTTCAAAGTTGTAACCACAGCCTACCTCTCTACGACCTCCAACCAATAAGGTCCCTTCTATTATACAAGTTATTTGAGGTCCACTGTCGAGCAACCGACCGCTCACAAGGCATTGAGCGGGTCTTGAGCTTGCAGCGATGGATACCGAGCTGGGTATGTTGCAGGTCTCTGTGCACGAGCGGGTTGAACGAGCCAGTGAAGAAGGTCATTCTTTTTTTCTCTTCTTCATTCCTGGGGCCCGCTTCGTCGAGCAGTATTGACTCGATCTAATGGGGTGCTTCATACATTTTGATGTGTTCTTGATCTGGATATACCAGTCTGCAAGTAGTACTCCATGATCGGAACTGACCGTACCCATCCCTGAAGGTTGGAAAGGCGATCCCAAGCTTCCGAAGGAGCATCCATGGTGGGAGCCAACCTTGGAGGCCACGATTGTAGCGCCCCGTTTATTTATGGATAATTTTAGGAGTATTTATTATTATTTATTAATATTATTATTACTTATTGTTTGTTATTATTATTATTATTGTTGTTGTTATTATTATTATTATTATTATTATTATTATTATTATTATTATTATTATTAGNTTATTATTGAGGAAACGGGATTATATTTTCAGTTAAAGCGAGCCCGAGAGCTGCAGTATCGTACTCGAACCCGCGGGCCAAACCCGTGTGCCCCAGCCCAAAACCGGCCCAATTGACTTGGTATTTCGGCCCTTTGATCAAGACATTAGTTGTCCCTCTTGATTAAGTTATGGCCCCATTTTTTTTTTATCAATATTAAATATTCCTAAGTATTTTATGTCTTGATTTTAGAAGTGTTTTTTTTTTTTTAAAGTCAACTTGGGAGATAATGTTCCAACTCCAATTCACGCCCTTAAATTTGTTCATTTGGGAAGAATTTATTTAATCCCTTTACATTCGAGCAAACCCTCCTCCATCAGAACCTAATTCACGCCTCCAAGACGAGCAAATCATTCGATCAAAATTTATAGCTTTTAATCATGAGAATAATGCCCATATACCTAGCAGAAAAACCATCGGATTGCCATTTTCTCCTTAGCCTTGATCGCTCTAATCCTCTCGTCTCTCCCTCACCTATGTCCATAGCCACCACGAGCCCTTTTTCCTCTCCGGCGACCCTCACGGTGAAGACGAGTCGCTGCCCCTCAGTGCACAGGCCCTGTTTTCCGTCGTCCACGAGCAGCGTTCCCTGCGATCGCCCGACTTCCGGCGAACCCTCCAACTCCGAACTCCGTCGCTGCCCTCTCGCCATGATCTTCTCGCAGTCGCCGCAAGCCTATCAACACCTCAGCGACGAGCAGCCCTTCCCTCACGAGACGATGCTTGCCGTCGAGCTCGAGCCGCGAGTTCGCCTCGTCTTTTTCGTTCCGTTTTCCGAGCTCTTCCCGAGAACGGTACCTAGTCAATTTCGTCTCGTTTAATCGTTTATGTTATTTTCGTATATGTGTGATTTGCGAGACGTGAATATTGTGCGTTAATGTGTTCGTTGTGATTTTATGTAAGAGTTATGATTTTATGTGTCGTATATGTGTTCGGGACCTCTTCGATTTTCTCAAGAATCGAACGAGAGCTCGAAAGTCGTGTAAGTCGGTGGATATTGGAACAATGTCGAGCCCTTGGTCTTATGAAAAGGCCTCGGACGAGAAATTTCGTGTGTTGAATTAATTGATAAGTTGTCGAGCATATATATCGCTGTTTTGATGTTCGAATTTTTAAAAATAGCTCGCTGCTCGAAACGATGTGAAATTTTGAGGGATGTGTTATCTGTTCATATTCTGCCTTGTGTAAAATTTTCATAATTTTTGGAGTTGATTTGATATGGATAATATTTTATTTATTGATTCTGCAGAAGTGTTGTTTGAATTTTTAAAAATCGGTTACTGCATGGAAAATTCTGAAATTATATTGAGAGTCATATTTTAGATTTTTGATCATGTTTGTAAAAGATGAGAATTTTTAGAGTCTGTTTTGTTTCAGTTTGGGTTTAAATTCGATAAACTGCTGTTGCTCGTTTGAATTTTTAAAAAATAGCAGCAGTTATCATTTAAGGCTGAAATTTTTATAAGTGGACTTTGGCATACTGTATGTTACTGTGTAAAATTTTCAGGATCATTTTCATTCATTAAGTCTGAGTATGAATTAAGGTGCCCTTTTTGCTGAATTACTGTTCGAATTTTATAAAATGGGGTATTGTGAGTTTAAAGCTGAAACTTTGTGATTTTACATGTTTCTGGGAGATGAAATTTTGTATAAATTTTCAGAGCTTAATTCATAGGGTAGCTTGACCTTCTATTTTCATGCGATTAAATGATTTCAATTTTTCGGACATAATTGTTATATGGATTTTGGATCGACTTGCTTTTTGGTTTTTATGTAAGTTTGACTTGGTCAATCCTTAGATGGATTCATATGATCTGGTGTGTGTGTTTTGATCAAGTTAAGAGCTGAGTCTTAGTGTTCCAATTCCACAGGACTTCACGAACTACTTAGTCGAAACAAGTTCGACTAGGTCTGTTTTGTGTTTTCCGTTTAAAGTCAAGATAGATGTTGATTGTAGCATCTTGACTTAATGTAGGTGATTGAGGAGTCCAGCCTCTACCTACTTCCATTGCTTTGAGTTATTATCAATCCGGAATCCAGGTGGGTTGTTATTCAAAAATTATCTATGCATATGTTTGATTTTAATCATGTTGCAAATTTGGTGTGATCTATGTATGAAAATGAACATGTAGCCCATCGATGTGAGCTGTTACGGCCGTCGGTACGGTTGTCCCCGTCGAGTTACGGTACGGTGCCCTTGTGTGGCAATCTCCTTTAAGTCCTGATATGGCCGTGCCCTTGTGAGGTACGTAAGCCCATATGGAAGGCCGTGTCCGTTACAGTGGCACGTACTCCCGCCTTCGGGTAATGAATCCCCGTTCTGCGGCTAGCGATAGATGTGCACAGGAGTAAGGTTAAATGGTGTGATATTGAATAGGAGATGAGACATGATGTGATTATTGTTTATGTTCATGCTGCGACCATACCATTGTTATGTTATTCATATGCATAGTGTGAGTACGATATTTAACTGTACTCACTCCCACCTGCTCGTAACTGATGCAGGTTAAGCAGCTGGCGGGTGACGAGACGAGATGACGAGTGGTGGTTATATTATTTATTATTGCTTTATTAACCTTGCTTCCGCTTAGTTCATGAACTCATGTTGAATTTGGATATTTTGGTCATGTCATTTCGGAACATGGAATTATGAATTATCTTTTATGAATTGGAACCTAATGAATGCTAGATTGGTTTATGGTTTATTATTCGTGCATGCTGCCTTTATTTGCTGTGTTAGCATTTTTGGATAAAAGCTTTTGGTAGGTTGAGTAGCGCCCACTGAGTTTCTAATTAAATTATTGTTTGCGAAAATTTTATTGTGGTTTCTATTAAATAAATTCGATAAATCTTTCAAAATAAAGTGGGGCGTTACAACGATGATAAAGGTGGGCTTCGTCGAAAAGGCCAGTGAGCAGGTCGAAGAAACTGATCGTCCCCGTAGAGTGGTTAGCTAGGGTTAATCCAATCCAAAGGAGCTCAAGCTTGGTATCTGTGCCCGTGAGCAGACATTGTGGTAGAGAATCCATCTTCCTCAACCCATCTTGAACCATAATAGAACCTCTTTTTAACTTTGCTATTGTCTTCAGCAGTGTCAAGAAGGATCAAACAGTGATCTAAGGAGAGAAATGAGATGTGCTTAACCTTAGGGGAAAGCGAGGGCCCAATCAGGGGAGATAAAGAATCTATCTTACCTCTCTTTCTATAAATTCCACCACCCCCGCCCCCTCTTGTCTGCAATTATTCCAGGTAAATGGATATTCCCTGGAAGGGACATCAGCCATGCCCATGAGATGAATAAAGGAGTTAAAGGATCTGAAACTAGCCTCACTCCTCTTAAGATTCCTCCAATTTTTTCACTGTTAGACATAAGGTCATTAAAATCTCCCTCCAATAGCCAAAACTTACCCCAATTGGGTTTATTCCTACCCAAAAATTCCACATGGCTTCTCTAACATTAGGGCTAGTGCTAGCATGAATAAAAATGGCCAAGTAGACAACATGATTGTTGGAAAAAGAGAAACTAACTTGAATTTAAAAGTGGTTACTTATAATTTGAAGAACATTTATTTTAGGCTTAATTGCAAATAAAACCATGACCTTTTCAAAAATTGCAATTATATGCATCACTTTTAAACTTGGCAAATATATACACCACTTTTATAATTTTTTGCAATTGTATGTATCAGACCCAATTTCGGGCTTTTATTGCTGACGTAGAGATTTTCTGCTGGCATGACAATTTCCCGCTGACATGGCTCTGACATGGAGATAAAAAATAGGCTTAATTGCAAATAAAACCATGACCATTTCGAAAATTGCAATTATATTCATCACTTTCATTATATTATTTTTTAATAAATAATTGAATAAAATATTTATTACAATAATCTCGAAAATTTAATAAATTATTTATTATAATAATCTCAAATTATATATTTCTATTTTATTATATTCATTTATTAAATTCCATGAGATTATTTTAATAAATATTTTATTAAATTTTTTGATATTATTTTAACCAATTATTTATTCTATTATATTAAAAATATTATAATGAAATAATATTTTTAATTTTATTATTTTCATTTACTATTTTTATTCATTTTAATATATTATTTCATAATAAGTTATTTGATTTATTTTATTATTTATTTAATTTTAAATTACCATTTTTATACTTTATTTAATAATATTATATTATTTTTATTTTATTTTAACTGGTGTACTTTAATCTAGATTATTTTTTAATTTTATTTTATCATTATTATTTTTTATTTTCAAATTTATAAAACTAGTTTTATTTTAATAAAATAATAAATACATAAATATATTTAAATGCAATTTAACTTTAATGCACTCTACTGTAATAAATTTTATCTAATTTATTTAATTTATTTTTTTCATTTAATATATACAATTTATTTTATTATATTTTAATTATTATAAATTTATATCTTATTAATATTATTAAATATAATTTACATTATCTTTTAAATTTAATTTGCTCATAATTACGTTACGTGTATATATATTAAATGCTATTGAATTAGACATACAAGTAGTATGGGTGTAGTGGTAATGGTACCAATTTAAAACCACAAGGGCACAGGCTCGAATCCCAACCTTGTTTTATTTTTCGAAAAAGTTATGGTTTTATATATTTGTCAAGTTCAAAAGTGATGCATATAATTTCAATTTTCGAAAAGGTCATGGTTTTATTTGCAATTAAGCCTATTTTTTATCCCCATGTCAGTGCCATATCAGCAGCCATGGTCATGGTTTTATATATTTGTCAACTTCAAAAGTGATGCATATAATTTCAATTTTCGAAAAGGTCATGGTTTTATTTGCAATTAAGCCTATTTTTTATCCCCATGTTAGTGGCTTATCAGCAGCCATATCTCCACGTCGGCAATAAAAGCCCGAAATTGGGCCCGATACATACAATTGCAAAAAATTGTAAAAGTGGTGTATATATTTGTCAAGTTTAAAAGTGATGCATATAATTGCAATTTTCGAAAAGGTCATGGTTTTATTTGCAATTAAGCCTTTATTTTATCATACAAGTACAAAAATAATCAACCTTTTGATCCCTCGGGATATTCAAAATATCATCTATCAGCACGCTTAAGCTTTTTACAAACAGTTAAATTATTTATTTATTTATTTATTTATTTATTTATTTTTTTGGTTTTTTTAACTTCAAAATGAAAAAAATAAGGGAGGTGAGACCTTAAGGTCTCTTTAAAAAGATTGTAGAGGGTACTAGCAAACCAATACAATTCCACACTGAAACTTTCATTTAAAACTTTAGGACTATCTATGATTGGTTTGCCTTCACCAAATTGGACTGCTAAGAGTTTTGAACTTTAGCAAGACATAAAAATTGAGAAATTTTACTTTTTTCTGGACTCTAGAATTGACCCTTATAAGATTCATTTTCCTCAGAGTGAGCTCTTTTGTTGTGAATGTTAACTCGAGGGTTCTGACTTTTGATCTCAACATCCACAAGCAACATTTCATTAGACTTTTTCCTAGTTAGTCTAACAGGCCAAAGAGGGTTTTCACCTTTTTTGCATGCAGGAGAAGGCTCAATGGCACCGGTTGCTAAAGGGTTAAGACTGTGGACCCTGAGAGGATTGGAATATCTACAAGAGGGGCAGGGAAGCTGAGATTTAGGGAGGGAGTGAAGGAAAGTAGAGGTGAGACTTCAATGCTCATAGGGTCCATTGTTTCAGCTATTTTCACTCCCAAATTGGTGCCTAAACCAGAACTTTTAGGACTAAGGTTAAACTCTGCATGGGAGATTTTTGGCAGACTGGGACTTGGGATTCTATTTGAATCCTCTTTCTAACTAGTTTTACATGGGCTACTAATTTTGCATTTGGACCAGAATATCTAGCCATCGGCCGATGTGCTGCCAGAGTCAGGGTTATACACGTCAGTGACCACGCCATAAAGTTTCATAATTTTTAATCCAGTGAAGAGGCAGTCCATGGATTTGCATGTCAAACTTGGCCCTTTCCATTCTGGTTCATGTGGTTTCAATATTTGTGGTTGAAGGATCGAGTAATTTATTTATCCATAGTCTACAATTTTTATGTTCCAATTTTTAGGTGTTGGAATTGGAGTATCAATCTAGCTTGCTACTTCCAAAATTCTATTAAGAATATAAGAAAAATGTACTAATTTTTTTTATTTATTTTTTTTTTTTTTAATTTTTGTTTTTGTATATTTTGGTTCAACGACAACAAACAAGCCTTACGAATTGTGAGGAACTTCTAATGGTAAAATGTTGAAAGACCCACCTTCATAACTCAACCCAAAAATAAATACTAACTCGGTTAACAGTTGATATTATCGTGACTTAAAATGACTCCGTATACTCGGATTGTGTGTCAAATCCTCCATTGAGCTTCAAAGAAATTGACATCCCTAACAGAGCTTCAGGGTCCACTTCGCACATAATTGAGACTTGGATGTTAGAATTTGAATCCCACTAAAATGTGATTAGAATTCATACTTCATTGAAGACCTCGTTGCATGATAATAAACAAAAGGTTACGGCTGGTTTGAACCTACAAAATACATGTGCAATTTGAATGAGCAGTTGATAGACTTCAGTCACAAGTGGCAGGATGCAGGAAGACACCAAAACAACAGTCTCCAAATTACCCATCACCTTTGAGGAAATTAAGCAAACGCCATAATTCATAGAAATGCTGGATTGCATTCCAACTTTGGGTTAAATAGAAAGCATGCAAAAAGCAGTATTTTCATATAAGTCAGGGTGAGATTATTATCATTAAACATAGGTGAAATCCGGTCATCCATGACCAATTACAATATCTTGTAAGCACATCAAATTCTCAAATGGATTATATATGAAATCACCCTTCTTTACACCACAGTGCCATGGGAGAAGCCAAGTAACCAAATTTCTCAGCTAAATAGTATTAGGTTTAGGCAAGTTTCTTATTAGGATTCAAGCAGATTTTTGAGCCCCTTGCTGCTTCCACTGTTCTGGAGTGAGGGCCTTCGTAATGGAAAGAGCATGAATTTGTTTCATCTCCTCAACAAGTGCAGCATTTACAAGTCGGTGCCTCTCAAGCAGCCGTTTCCCTTCAAATTGTTCTGATACAATCTCAATGCTGAAACTTGCACCACATCTGAATAAATAAATGAATTTGTCAATGTTATGGCTAAAGTCTGAATCATTATTTAAATAAAATAAATAAATAATTAAATAAATAAATAAATAAAACTACAATTCCATCAGATGTGAACTCACCCCCCAGATGTGTCAATGATATCCTGCAGTGGATACAGAGTGGCGACATGAAAAAGAAAACGAAAGTCAGAATTTCAGATTAGGCAAAATCCGCATTAGAATGAATAAGATTAGATAATAAAATTAAATCGAGTGAAAGAAAAAGGAGACACAGTGAGACAGGCTGAGCATCTGTAAATTGTAACGTGGGTAGACACGAAATTGGGAAATTTCCCTCTGCTTTTTAGAGACAACCACTTTCATTGTGAAAATAGTAACACATCTCAATACAAAGAAAATGGGATTTGGTTTATCAGAAGTTCATAGATCATGTAGATAATAAAAATGGAGGTGGATTCTGCAAGTTAACTGCATCATTAAACACTTTATGGCAACTCCAAGATAGCAAGATTGAATAAAATCAGAATACACGATAAAATGTTATATCTCACATGCAAAGTCACATATATGACTATTAGTAATTCAACCTAACAAAGAAAGATAAGAAACAAAAATTAATAGGCTTGGGTTGTACTGCAAATAGTCTTGACTTAAGCGTTAAGTTATTTATTTTTCTTAGAGAGTCGTGAATTATAGAAAAATAAAACCGGGATGAGCTTTGTGGTGGCTCCACTCCATGCTTAGGCTAAATTACTGAAAGTTCGCAAGAAGACTCATTTACTGAGAGTCAACGAGCTAACATATTGAATCATAATATTTATTACTAACTTTAAAATTTGATTTAAAACATCTGTACGTTTAAGACATCAAATTTCACTCAACAAGGTTATACAAATATTAATATAGTAGATTAAATTTTCCATCAATACCTCTGTAGATTGTAACAAAAGAATCTTGATTCTATAATCAGTGGGTTTTATCTGATTCTTTACGTTCATCACCAACTCAAGAAAAGAAAAAAGATCAAAATATAATGTTTTTCAGTCTAGTGCCTAGTGATCACCATAGAAGCTAACACCGTGTACAATGCACTATGCACATCCAGGTGTGTGTCCTCCCATGAGAACAGATCCAGAACCATTCTAGTTATATTTGTCCACCTCTTTTTATCAAAGCCTAACTTATAACTAACTAAACAAAATTGCTAGATAATCTTCTTATACCAATAAATAAACAAGGGGATCCATTCTTATAAACTTCCCTGTTTCTGCAGACAGAAATATTAATTTATCACCACCACCTGCTGGTCGGCTTTTCAATAGTAAATGATCCTACACAAATTATATAACTAAATAATAAGTTTTCCTGCCGAAAAAAAAAAAGAAAAAGAAAATCGCCGTCTGTTATAGAAACTAAAAAGGACCCAACATCATGAAATTAAGCGAAAGATAAACAATGAACTAGCAGCGGAAACCTGCAACGAATATTTTTCATAATCCAGCAGCAATCATCACAGAATAACGAGAGTTTTAATTAAATCAGTGATCAGCATAAGCGAGAGAAGGAGAGGATTACAAGATGAGAAGGATTGAGCTTTGAGTTAAGGGTTGAGAGAAGTTGCTCCTTGGTCACAGCCATCCCTGCCGATCTCTGTTAGTTAGCACGAGCAATGAAATAGCACCGCGTAAGTATTAGGCTTTCAAATTAGGGATGCGTTCACAAATGCCCTCTTCTTTATATAACGATAGTCGTCCTCAATTTATTTATTTATTTATTTATTTTTTCTTTATTTCTATTATTATTTTTTAATTTGTACTACACAACACATTTTTTTGAATAAGAATATGATTTTCGTAAAAGACGAAACAACCCATCTCACTCCCTCCCTGGCATCAGTTTCTTCCTCTTTGGGAGAAAAGGATTTCTCCATCGCCAAAATTCTTCATGTCAAACGTTTTTCTCGAACATTAGGGCTGAGTTTTTCTCCAATAGCCCGTCCCACTCCCGTCCCACGCATCTTCGTTGTTTTACAGTCGTCCTTGTCGGCGGCGAAACTCTCCGACAACAAAATGGCGAGCTCTAAATCCGAATCCCCATCCAATAAACCACTTTCCTCTACAGCAAAGCCAACAAAGAAGGTTAGTGTAGTTTATTAGGATTTTTTTCAGAATTCAAAGAAGGTTAGTGTAGTTTATTAGGATTTTTTTCAGTTCTCGATTTTGCAGATGTCCTTTTCAGTTCCAGTAACCCCGAATCTCTCTCATCGGCGAAAGCCCTATCAATCGGCTTAATTTCAGATCAATCGGTGTTTTCCCTCACCACAAGGCTCTCCAAGCATATGTATTTTACAAATTAGCCAACCACCAGCTCACTACCTCCATACCCGACAAATTGGCGCAGATTCGTATGGACCGGGGGCGCGTACTTAACCCCAACAACGTCTCGAAGTGGCGGTGGAAACGAATACAGGCGAAGAAATCGAAACAGTTGCTTAAAAGCCTGCCTGGCCTGAGAACGCCAAGCCGCCCAATTTGTTCTCCGCGAGCGCCGACGAGCTGCTACAGGTGCTGGCGGACTAGTTTCAGAAGCCCGACGGGCTGGATCTGTGGTTGGAAAGGGACGTGCCGAAAGTGTTCAAGCACGATAACATGATGCAGTCTTCTAGGTTTTTTCCAAAAGGGGTTGCTCATAGCATCAAACTGTATGGGAAATTGGTTGTTGCTTTAGAAGAATCAGATGGCTTAGGTATGGAAGAAGAATCGGCCCCTGGCCTGGTTGGTGGACATGTGGGTGAAACGGGTCTACGAAGTTAATAGTGAAATGGACTTCACTCGGGCTTCTTTTACCTTGGATGATCTCCGTACCTGTAAGAACTCAGCTCCGGAAGGAGCCCCGGCATCAAGCCTCCGATGCCTAAGTCGGCACTTTCCAGAGATAAAGTGCAATATGAGAGTATAGTAGTGAATGTAGAGAGAGTGTTTTTGTGATACCTTAGGCTCCTTGTATATGGGAAGTGTTCCTTAGTGCATAAGTTTGGCTTGAGCAATACCATTATGACATGTGTCTTAGTTCATGTGTAAGTTTATTTCCCATTAAAATCGGTCCAGTACGATATTTAATGCAGTCTGTTGGAGTTGTTGGAGTCATTGATCTGGTGGACTTGTTGATCACAAAGTTCATGCAGCCTGTTGCATGTTGTGTTCTTTTTTTTTTTTCTTTCATTTGCATTTCTATTATTTCAATTTTTTCCCTAGTTCCGTTTTCCTTTATTTTACTCGTGAGTGGGAGTTTATAAGTTGGGGCGACTTCTTATAAACTGAACGATGTCGTATTAGCCTTGTGCATGTTTTTCATGTGCAGATAGGGTATCTTAGCTTGCCTGTATGGTTTTTTCATAACAAAGAAGAGCCTAGTCGATAGAATTGAAGAAGATTCGTAACTTCTATTGTGTTAAACACGATCGATCGGAGGTTGGACTATCTTATTTCAGCTCAACCTTGAAGATCTGAGCTCGCAAGGTGCGTTAATGGCTAAACGATCCTTTCGTGCTTCATGGATCGGACCATCCTGTATGCTTCTGGTCACGCATCCTTTCTCTGGTAACAGTTTGTCTCTTGTAAACGTTCCATGATAATTGCTTTGGGTGTGAAAACCAAGCCCGAATTTGTTATGGTGAGATTTTGAAAACGAATGAGCTGAATGATTATTTTGAAAATTGAAAGAAAATCGATTGGATGGTACTGTCTTGGATTCTGAATTCTCTTTCTAAGGAAATAGTTGAATCATTCATCTATGCGGATGGTGCTAAAGAGTTGTGGGATTACATATGTCAACGTTTTGGTGAAAACAATGGGCCAATGAGATATAAGATGCAAAGAGAGATCTCTAATCTGGTGTAAGGTAATCATACCGTGATGGAATACTTCAATAGGCTAAAAAAAATTGGGACGAGTATCATGTGTAGCTCCTTTACATTTGCACTTTAGAGAGAGGTAGAATTATTGCTCAACATGAGTAAACTTATACAGTTTTTGATGAGACTCAATGATACTTATGACAATATTAAGAATCAGATTATATATGCTCATTGATCCTTTATCAACAATCAAGAGAGCATATTAAATGGTTATGACAGCTGAGAGGCAAAGGACAATGCAAAATGACTTTGGCATAGACTAGAGAATGTGGCTATGGCTATTAAGGCAGAAAAGAGGGACATTAGGTCAGGGAAGAGGAGGTCAAGGTGGACCTGGTTGGAATACAAGAGTCAGTGGGCACCTGGTAAAGGAAGAGGATCTCCTAGGTTGAGTAAAGAAGAAAAGGCCAGATTATTGTGCGAGAAATGTGGGATGCATGGCCACACTGTCACCACTTGTGTAAAAAACACATGGAATGGAAGATTGGTATAAGGCTCTGAGGGATCAAAAGGGAAAGGAATATGAAAATAGGTGTAGGCCAGATTATTGTAGATAGTACGGTTCGATGTGTCGAACAAAAAGATCATATATCGGTTCCTTGTAAGATAGACTATTTGTTCACAGTCTAGACATGCATTGAAACCCCTGTTGGAAAAAGGTTGTAGTGTAGTCTTGATTCAGTTGGTCTTTGGCTGATGGATTACACTAAAACTTATGATAAGTATTGAACGGACCACTGAAGGATATGATTATAAGATTTACTGATCGGAGTTATAATCTAGACCTTCAGTAGTTGATGCGTACTGTTAAGACATAATGTAATAAACGAGCATATATATTCATTAATTGTTTATTTGATTTACCAAGGGTGTGTTGGGATCTATGAGGATCTCGTTAAGTACAAGTTACGAATTCAATAGCAAATGTAAACCTATGCGCAGCAGATCTAAAGGTTTGACGTAGAAAACTTACGGCTTAAAACTTTTCTGAATCTGATGGATTCGGGATGACCGGGAGCAACATACGAACGGAACTGGATCACACGAACAGGAAGGCGGGATCGTGTCTGTGTGTCGGGTCGTGTCGCGTCGCCGATCATGTCACGCGGGTGGCCGAGTTGCGGCGGATATCCGGGAGCTCGCGGCGCTGGACGGTGGGGCTGGGGTCGGTGATCCTCGACCTTAGGGACGTGGTTCATCGACTTCTGTAGATGATCACGGGGTCTCGATTACCTTCGAGATCTTCTACTGTATTACTCTTACACCTCTTCAACTTGTACCGGTGGAGCAACAAGAAGAAGATAAAGCTTGAATAAGATCTAGAGAGAGATAGAGAGGGGCGGCCGAACTCACGTGTGAATGTGAAATGGATCTCTTCTCGTGAGCTTAGGGGGTGATTTGATATGAATTCAACTAGTAAAAAACTAGTTTTTTTTTTTAACTATAGTTAAATTTGAAAAAAAATAGTATGGTTAGTTGTTAGTGGATATATTAAAATATTATTTAAATTAAAATAATTAAAATTGATTTGATGTAAAAGTAGAAAAAAATGATTGGAAGTGATGGTTAGTTAAAATTATGTGAGAAGGTGAATAATGAATTAAAGTTGATGTGATGTGTAATAATGATTGGTTAATATTATTTAATTATATTGATAATATTGGAGATAGTGGAGTTGAGTTAAATTTGAGTTTTGAGTGAAATATTTACTGTGCAAATTATATACAATCACACCCTTAATGATGTATATATAGAGCTACAGTAGGGATCTTTAGGAGAATAGGAATAGGGCTTCTTAAGTAATGGACTAACTGTAGACCAGGTCCACTCTTCCAATTACTTAAATAATATTGCAGTCCACTAACGAAATATTATTGCACTCCTTTTTTCTAGCCAAAATTACATTTGAGATTCCAATTATAATTACCCAAATTACATCCCCATATGTAAGATATAACTAGTTTTACCCCGTGCATTTGAACGAAAAGAGATATAATAGAAGAGAAAATAATTAAAAATTAGAATAAAACAAATCATAATTTAATAAATTAGAAAAAAAAATAATTTAAAAAAGTGAATCTAAATATTATTAAACACTTCTTTATATACAACATTCGTGGTTTTCCTGTCGTCAGAATCCCACCACCACAAATTATTATTATTAAACTCCTTCGACTCGTGACTTTGGGGTTTGATTTTTTAAAATATTTGATATATCTTGTAATATCCGAAAAAATATTTTTTTTATTATTGTATGACTGTAATAGAAAATAGAGATATTTGTAGTCATTCTTAATTAGTTGTGACATATGTATTTATATAATACTAAAAGATATATAATATCAAAATAAAAACAAAAATATTTTGTATTTCAGGACATAAAAAGACGTTGCACAAATGGGCACATTCCAAAACTTGAATTGTCAAATAAATAATGTAATTGAAAGTTACATATTTTAATTAAATGGTAAACATATTTTTATTAAATGAACACGTATTTTTATTAGATGAACTCATTATTATTAATTGTTGGCTGAATAAATTTTTTTGAACATTGGCAGCAATTATATGTATAGAGATGTACTCCAATCCATAGATCATATTCTTGAAACAATTGCGAACTAACTTCAATTTGTTGTCTTGTTCTTACTTTTTGCCAAGAGAATAAAATATCGAAGTGGAATGTCATTTCAAATGGGACGAAATTGGGATGAATTTCTTTTAAATGTGCTAGGGCTGTGAGAATTGTAATTGCAATGTGGTTTTGTCTCTTATTTTTTAATCTATTTATAAGCATCTCTAAATATTTCATTAATTATATAATATAAATGCTCAATAATGAAGATTGAGGATTGATTTTTTTTTTTTTGCATTTGATAAATTTGATTTTATTTTCATTTGTCCTGCCGAATGTTTTCAAAGTGAGAAAATACAATTGGAGTATAATTAAAATAAAAATAAACTAATTTAAAAATGGGCCGACATCAATTAGCATAACTTTAGGTGAATGAAAACGTATTGCAGAAAGAATAATCATATTCATTAATATTGAATTATCAAATAATGTGTAACTGAAAAAAAAAATAGATATGATATAGGCCGTTGATTTTATGAGTATGCGAACTATTATTAAAATATGGAAAATCAAAGTGAGAAATAAATTTGCATAATCATATTATGTGTAACTGTAAGTAAAATTATATGTCATAACCGGTTGTCATATTATTTTGTTATTGAAAATAATTGTTTGTAATAATATCTCATGACTAATATATGTCATTATTTGCAGGAAATATTGTCCAGAATATTGTAGGATGTAATATTATATGGAAGATTTCGTGATTTATTGAATTTTTTTAGCATGATATATAAATTTAATGTTATTTGTTGAGAAATTTACTATTATTATTATTATTATTATTATTATTATTATTATTATTATTATTATTATTATTATTATTATCATNTAACAATGTCACCATAAAAGTACAAAGAAAACGTTACTTTTGTATTAAGTAAAAAGAAAACTTACCATGTTTAGTCCAAAATTGGTCCACATTAATTGGATAACCTACAATTATATATATATATATATATATATATATATATATGGATATCCATTAATTAATTCGATTACTGACAATCAAGAATTAATTAATATATTATTTATTTCACCGAAGCTAGTGCTCGTTCATCACATTATTATTATGCCACCTGCAGGGTTTAGCATAACAAT